AGGTAAATAAGGGCACGTGGGGGTCAGAGGAGGAGGCAGAGGAGAGGAAGGAACCAACCAATCAACGGGCCGCGGAGCGGAAAAGAGGCACAGAGGAGAAAGAGACGGGGTGGGGGAAGAGCAGTGGGGAGGGCGCTATGGACCGCAAATGCCATGAAGGAACCCCAGGAGGGCAAGGAGTCTGGTGACAAGGGGGAGGAAGCGACCCAGGGCAGTGAGCGGGGGTGGGGGGTCACGGTATCACACAGTGACCGGGGAAACAGAGCAGCAATTTGTAACAGGCTGGCGCGTAGAGCTGCCATAGTTGAGAGTCCCCCCCACAGCAATGGGTGGGACAAGACTGGACTGGCTCCTCAGCCCCCATCAGTGGCTATTGGCCAAGGAAGTCAGTTAGAACGGTGCCAGGCTGGGGGGCCTGCACCGGGACTGACTCTGAGACCCGAGGTCAGCAAACCGAGTGCACAATGGACTGAGCAGGAAGGCTGGTCACTGAGGATTCGAACAGTCAAGGAGCCCGCAGTGCGCGGCTCAGTTCAAGAGGAGGAGCCTTGCAGCCTTGCCAGGCCCAAGGAGGGAACCACACGGGGCCCTCCTGGACAGTTTCAGGAGAGCGAGCTCAGGACCAGCCGTCGATATCTGGACTGCGTCCCCGCAGGGTTGTGTTTGTTTCACGCACAGACCGAGCAGGATTTGGCTGGAGGGCTGTGACGAGAGAGCCATCGCACAAGTGCAGTCACTGATGGGAGTGGAGAAACCCTGCAGGCACACGCCCGCCAGGGAGGGCTGAGGAAAAGTGAGTGCAGCCCGTTACGCAAGCTTGTTCACTGAGTACAAAGCATGAGGCCTAAGAAAATGTCACTACAGGTTGGATCTCCCAAAACGGACTCTCTGGTTCAGAAAACTGTATGGGCTGGCAGGACCACAGCTGTTCCTGGACCAGGAGTCCTGGCTGGGAGCCCGGGGCAGGAGGGCTGGCAGCAGGATTCCTTCACCCAACAATCCAACAAGTACGTCTTTGGTCTTGGTGCTGTGCCTGATGAGCAGGAAGTGAGTGGCCATGTCAGGGGTGTTTGTCCTGCCGTTTTATTGTGTCACCTGAAGGTCTGCCCCTTTTGGGGACCCAGAGTCTGGTTCCCCACACCCCCACCTTGCCCAAGGCCTTGCAATTCTGGTGGTAGCCCTGGCCATAGAATAGAGCCTTATCCTTGCTATACAGTGCTGCCACGCCCACTTTTAGCAGGACAATACTAACCAGTGCCTTGTGAGTCTTCATGATGCCACACCCAACATGCTTGAAAAAAGGTTATCACAGTAGTTGGTAGGGTGCAGACTTGGGCACATTTCCTCAGTCTGCTCCCTGAGGACAGCAGCCACGAGAAGTCATTTCACAAACGTCCCAGGGAGGTTGAAGGAGTGGGAGGGGCAGCATCTGTGACCCCTGCCTTGCAGGCTTCAAAATCCCGAGTGGAGCAGCTGCTATTGCAGGGACAGAAACATTTTGAGTCAGCTCCTGGACCGTTCTTAGGCTACATCTACACTACAGGCTTCTTGTGCAAGAACTGTTTGGCGCAAGAGTTCTTGTGGAAAAGGTCTTGCACAAGAGCATGTCCACACCGCCATGTGCTTTTGTGCAAGAGCGTCCATGGCAGTGTGGTCGCTCTTTTGCGTAACAAAGCTCTCATGGCCTTTTTACCCAAGAAGCCCCTGTTGCCCATTCACACTGCCTTCTTGAGCAAGAGCTCTTGTGCAAGAGGGCTTATTCCTCATGGGGAGAGGAATACCTCTTGCACAAGAAGCCCTCTCTTCTGATGCTTTACTGTAAATCTACTTGCACAAGAACACGCGTGCAGTGTAAACACTCTGCAACTTTTTGCGCATGAGCAGCCGTTCTTGCTCAAAGAGACTGCAATGTAGACGTAGCCTTAGCGTAGATATTAAGGTGATGAGAACAGATACTATGCTAGTATTACTTGTGTGGACTAAAGCACTAGTGTGACAGAAGTAGGTGACTTTACCACCACCTCTCCAAACAATGCCAAAGCATCTTGTCAAACATAACAGGTTGTCCACATTGGCACGAGACAAATTAGGCTGTCACTTAGGCAAAATAAGTCAATTGCGGTGTTATACCAATAAAAGCAAGCAGGATCTTACGAGGGGGATAAGGCAAAAAGCCACATTTATTGTAAAGATAATAATAAAAAAAATAAAGAAAAGATAGAAGCAAACAACGTTGTTTAACTACTTAACCCTTATACATATAAACATTCATTCATCCATTCATTCAGGCTCTGTGTATTTGTTATAGTTACCAGCCTGGAAGTTGCTTGTGACAGAATACTGGCCAGGTATTCTGTACACAAGTGATGGTAGTGGGGAGCGAAGTCCTGATCAGATGCGCATCTGAAGCTCCTGGTAGGCTGGCAGCAGAACCTTGGACTCTAATTCCATAGTCTTTTAGTCCAGTTCTTATAGGAATTTCTTCCTATGCCAGTCTATGGAAATTGCTGCATCATGCTGATGTCTTCAGGGTGGCTGCCAGGTGCTCGTCAGTGATCTCATCGGGTGGACCTCCAGTACTTGGTTTTCTCCACTTGACACCTTTTGGTTGCACTGGCACCTGACGCCTTCTTCAGCCCTTTGTTGCTGTATTCTCAGGCTGGCACCTCTCAGAACCATTCATTCATCGTCCAAGCACGCTCTCTCTCTTACATACATTCCCTAAGTAATGTTTTGTATAATAATAAAAGTTGTAGTTACAAAAGTTTCTGGGTGGTATTGCTTAAAACATTCTCTGAGTGCTGAGTAAAGTTACCATGTTTTAAAGAGAACAGGCACTTATGTAACAATGCCCTTCCATAGCAGAGTTAGTGGCTTGACAATGCATTGTTACAATGTATCTCTGCAATGTCAATTTCAAGCAGCCCCTTGCACAAGCTTGAGCATGCCCTGGGACACAGAGGGGGGGCTGTTTCTGGCTACATAGGATTATATTCTTAACAGTTCTAAGTTACATGACCTAATACATTATATTCTAAAGGGGCAATAATAATAATAAATCTAAACATTTAACAATCTTAACAAATAATAATAATAATAATAATAATTAATAATAAATCTAAACACTTTAAGTTGTGGGGAACAAATTATGGGGAGTCACTTCCACTTGGGGGAATCATTTTCAATACATTAATATGTTATCCCTACAGCGGCAGACATAACTTCGTAGTCTAGGTCAAATCAGAGTTTCCATATAGCTAAAGCTCAGGGAACTGTCATGTATCTCTCATTTGAAGCAATTAGGTTGAGTAAGCCAAGTCATAAATGACTAATAATCTTAGATACTTATATTTACAGAAGAGAGATTCCATTATGTACACACCTTTAGCAGACAGACTTGTAATCTTACAGATTACAACCATGTTTAAGAAAGGTAACGGAGCTGACAATACACTTAGACTTCAAGGCATTTGATTTAGTACTACAGAGCATTCTGACTACAGAATGAGCACTGTACAAAATCCACGTGACATTAAAAAAATTGTTTGAGTATCTCAAAATATTGTGATGGAGAATCAGTGAAAGAAAATTATTCCAGAGATTTTGTGCAGGGATCAGTTCTGAGCCCAATTTTGTTCACACACCTTTATCAGTGATGAAAACAAATTGCTCAAATCTGTCTAAAAAGGTCCCCAGAAGACTGGGAAATGACAAAGATAGTGCCCATCTATAACAACTGAAACCAAGACAACCCAGGAAACTACAGACTTCTGTGCCAGGAAAGATAATGGAGCAAATCATTCAGGAATCCATTTGCAAACATCTGGGAGATAATAAGGTGATTAGTAACAGTCGGCATCAATTTGTCAAGAATAAATCTTGTCAAATCAACCTGATAGCTTTCTTTGATAGGATAACAAGCCTTGTGAATAAGGAGAAAGTGATAGATGTGGTATACCTAGACTAATGACCTTATCAATAAATTAGGGAAAAACACCACAAATGGGGCTACTATAAGGTGGGTACATAACTATTTGGATAACCAGTCTCAGAATAGTTAACTGTTCAGAGTCATACTGGAAAGGCATAACAAGCGGGGTTCCACAGGAGTCTATTTCCGGACCAGTTCTATTCAGTATCTTCATCAACCTTGGATATTGGCATAGAGAGTACACTTAATAAGTTTTCAGATGATATCAAGCTGGAAGAGCTTGCAAGTGCTTTGGAGGACAGTGTCATAATTCAAAATCATGTGGACAATCTGGAGAAATGGTCTGGGGTAAATAAGATGAAATTCAACAAGGACAAATGCAAAGTACTCCACTTTAGGAAGGAACAATCAGTTTCACACATGCGAACAGGGAAGCGCTTGCTTAGGAAGGAGTACTGCAGGAAAGGGATCTAGGGGTCATAGTGGACCATAAGCTCAATATAAGTCAGTGTGACACTGTTTGGAAAACACACACACACACACACACACACACACACACACACGATTCTAGGATGCATTAACAGGCGTGTTGTGGTCAAGACAAATAGTAATTCTTCCCCTCTACTCTGCACTGATTAGCCCTCAAGTATTGTATCCAGTTCTGGGCACCACATTTCAGGGAAGATGTGAAGAAATTGGAGAAGGTCCAGGAAATAACCAAAGTTATTGTAGGTGTAGACAACATGACCTATGAGGTAAGAGTGAAAAAATTGGGTCGGTTTAATCTGGAAAATAGACTGAGGGGGACAGGATAGAAGCTTCCATGTACTAAAAGGGTGTCACAAGGAAGAGGGAGGAAACATTGTTCTCTTTAACCTCTGAGGATAGGACAAGAAGCAATGGGCTTAAACTGCAGCAGGGTATGTTCAGGTTGGACGTTAGGAAAGACTCCCTAATGCTCAGGGTGCTTAAACACTGAAATCAACTTCCTAGAGAGGTTATGGAATCTCCATTACTGGAGATATTTAGGAGCAGGCTGGATAGGCATCTATCAGGGATGATCTAGATGGGGCTTGGTCCTACCCTGAGAGCAGGGAACTGGACGCACAGTCCCTTCCAGCTCTTGTGTTCTATTCTAGAACAGAAAGTTGAGCGGGGTGGTAAGTAACAATGGGATCAGGTTGTGAATTGAGAGCAAACTGGACTGCTAGGTGAAGAGCTCCTCTCTGCAGCATGTGTTTTAACAGAAGCAGAAGCTAGGTCCTCCCTCAGAGGAAAGGATGGAGGTCACATGTAGCGGATGTGCGGCTTCACCCTGACAAGCCTGCTACGAAGGGTGGTGGGTAGCAGACGTAGGCTTGGAAGAAAGGAGTGGCGTGCGGACGTGAGTGTGTTAGGGTATGTCTACACTACCCCGCTAGTTCGAACTAGCGGGGTAGTGTAGACATACCCATAGAGACCAGTGCTATGGGCTTGGGGGCGAGAGTGAAGAGACTAGTCCACCAGGCCCAGTGTTGCTGTACTTTCGTCTGCCCCTGTGATCCTGCCAGATTCCCTCAGCTGTGCTGCCACTGTGTGCAGCAGTGCCAGGGGGAGCTTTCCAGGCACTCATGCCGTGGCACAGAGGGATTGGGTTTCCTAGTGAAGAACTCCATGTGCACCTCCCAAATATAACCCTGTGTCCCCAGAACGGTCACCCTGCTATCCAGAAACCAATTTTCTCCCTCCCCCACTCCAGCCCCATTCGACCAGACCAGCCTTTGCTCCCCACCTGTGACATCCCCAGGCATCTCACCTGCTCCTTTTCGTGCCCTACTCTCTAGCTGCACCAGGCGTGGAGGGAAGGAAACGCCCACCAGTCAATATTATGCCCTGGTCTCGCACACTCCCTCGGCAACCTTGTCTAGAGACTTTAAGTGAGTGATTGGTTTTAAAAGATGATGAAACCAATAAACCAATTGCAGACTAAGATGAGGCTATTTCAGTAGAGCAGGCACATTTCCAACAGAACGTTGTCAAGAGAAAGTGCTTTAAAAAAGTTGCAACTGTTTTTTGCTGTGATTGGAGTTGGTTGGTACATCACATCCCCAAAGCACCATTAGCATGCCAGGTGTGCCACAACTTGCATACAAGCAAGCACTGAGGGTGCTTCAGTAGCTTGGACTTGCAGGCAGTAGCCCTAGTGGGCCCCACTATGCACTCAGACATGTGGGCCCCACATCTTGGGCTAGGGCTGGCCAGAAGAGGAAAGGCTGTAAATACAAACAAAGACAGGCTACATGGTTTCATTTAGAGAAGGTAGATAGGTGAAGGGACATTCCCAATCTCAGCAGCTGAACAAGGGGACAGCGTATGCAACGGAAAGGTGGCAAGTGTCAGAGTGATAAAAATATTTTCCACACAACAAACAATTCGGCTGTGGAACTAAAAGCCACATGATGTTGAAGCCAAGAAATTAGCAAGATTCACAAAGTTGTTGGATGTTTATATAGGATGAGAGAACCCTGAGCATTTTGGATCCGGCTTCATGGCTTAAAGAAATCTGAAACTGGTAGCAATTAGGATGAGCCTTTCATCCGGGGCAGAAGATCCCCATCTGCTGAGCGCAGAGTTCTTGCGCCTTCCTCTGAAGCGTCTGGCACTGGCCACTGTCAGGCTAGACAGACCTTGGGCCTGACCCAGTCTGGCAAATCTTGTGTTTTCGATGATCTCTCTGCTAAGTAACCACAGAAGAATGTGACTATGACGTGACTAGGATGGTCCATGCTGTCAGTGAACTGACTCAAGTCACATCAAAGGAACAGAGCTCGGCAGTGGCACACCACATCTGGTGTTTGCCAGTCATTCATACATGGACACAAACAGAACAAGTACATGAGGCAAAATCTATTAGCTTACACAGTAATCCATGTGGCTCAGTGCATTCCAGACTAGGTCAAGAAATTTAGTTTCTGAATGTGCTTCAATCTTTTAGCCAAAGTGCCTTACAGCAGTACCCCTGATATTTACATGATCATAGGCAATAGTGCTAGGTTTCTTAATCTTTGATATTCTTGAGGCAGTCCTGTCATGTGATTTTTCTCATTATGGGGTCTGAGTTGTAGGAATTGCAATGTGTGATTTTCGTTGAAGGCTCAGTTTTCACACAGCAATAGCACACAGTAATGAGCCTCAAGATGCATTAGTCGTTGCTATACCATTGTGTCTCTCATTTGCTTTCCTTTTCTTCCATTTTTCTATCATCTGAAGGGTCTGGTTATCTAATGCTAAGCTGTTATTACTTCCACTACTTCCCTTTTTTCAATGGCATTTCTCATCATGATTTCCTTATAACTCCATTTTTTAGTAAAACAAAAGTCCCCAATTTTCTCAAAAACAAGGAAGTAACAAGTCAAGGCCGAGAGAACACCCATTACTGCATTGTGCTCCTCTTGTTTCCATCTAATGCAGGAGCATTGCCTAATCCTGACTAATAGGTGAGAATTTAGGCTAGTCTACAAGGTGTATTACTCTGCACTCAAGGGTGTAAATTCTCATGTGCACTAGGACATGGTGCACTAACTGGTTCAGGTGAAGTCTAGTGTCATGCAGTTAGAGTTCCCTAATGCAGTGTTTCTCAACCAGTGGTACAAGTAGCCTTAGGGGTATTTGAGAGAAGTAGGGGGGGAGGAAAGGTATGTCAATAACTGAAATTTGGAGAAAACTGAATTTGTTTTAAGTTTTACAGCGCTTTGTTATTTTTCTACTTTTTACACCCCAAAAATTTAATCGCCTGCCTGGCTACGATTAAGCTGTTTTAACAAATGTGTTGCAATGGTAGAAAAAAATTGTGTGTGTCTGAAAACTGTAGATACTGGCGGTACTTATAATTTTTTTTAAGGGGGTACTTTTTTTTATAAAGTAAGAAACACTGGCATTGTGTGTACTGGTCCAGTCCCATTTCAAACACTACGATGCTGCAGAGAGCTTTTAATGCACACCAGCAGGGTCCACATAGGCTAGCTCATACGTAACCTTTTAGAGACGGGGGTGTGTGCGTTATACCTATCAATCCCCACCTCTCCCAAGTCCAGCCTGTTTTCATGCGCACTAAAGAAGTCAGTTTAGCCAGTGGGGCAATTCACATACTCAAGGCAGCCCCATGTTGCAGAATGTGGCTGTGTCCAGGCTGTACACTTGCGCCAGACTGGAAAACTGACCATTGTTTGGTTTTCTGTCAAAGCACAATGACAGCAGATTGACAAATGACTCCCACTCTCTACTGCTGAGCTCTCACGCTGCCTGTGCTACTAGGAGGTAGCAGAAAGGCCCTTACTAAAATCCTACCTCCTACCCGCTTACAGACTTCGGCGTGACTGAAATATAGGCATGGATACAGACCTAAATATCATAGCTGGCATGCTTATCTGCTTTCCAGGAAAAAGTGACTAGACTGGGAAATACCAACTGTCGTTAAAATCCCTTGAATACACACGTCTCAGTACTTTCCTGGTGTTCAATGTGTCTTGCCTTGCAAGTTCTCATTCTGAGCCTCTCAACAAAGCAGTTGCAGTTTTGTTATTAAGCTCGACTAGTGCCCTAGTATGGCACAAAGAGTGTGAGCTTCTCAGGACATTTCTGCATGGCCCTAGAAAGAGTTAATTAAAATCAGCTAACATCAAAAGGGCAGGGGCTATTTCAATAAAGGCGGAGAATTCAGTGCTACTATACTAAGTTCAGTTCTGGTTTTAAAGGGGATGCTTAATTGTGGCCTTTTTACCCCCTGCAGTTAGCTCTCCCTCATCGTTACTCATAGTTCTTGAATTGCCTAAATTCCTGCCACATCTTGTCACGCTTGATGCCTGTTCTTTCCATGAGCAAAAAGCAAAGAGAGAATTGCTTTTTAATAATCATTGTTTCCAAAACAAGTCATCTCTGTGCTGTTGTATGCCTGGAGCACATTCATCTGCGGCACCAATCAGGGCTGAAGTAAGCCTGGTCTAAGAGCCTGCTGGGTTTGAGAGTTTGGAACCTGCAGCATGACAGGCAAAGACACTGCTAGTAGCCACAGCTGTCCGTCTTCAGCCATTGGCAAAGGGAAGAAAAGGAGGGGGAAGGGTAGATTATTCTCAATCAAATGATCTTGCTAGTATTTATAAACCCAAAGTAAGATGATCCAGAAAGCTGCTCGAAGGAGCGATGCAATGTGATGTTCAACCTTTCCCCTGTAAAATAAGTGTATTGATCTATGGAATGATTTGCATATTCTGACATACATTTTAAGAGTCATAATCATCACTCCCACTTCTGAACACAAGGATCTGCCAATCCAGTATCTGAAGGTCAAATCCTCAATAGATTGTCCATCCAGCATTGATCTGACATCAGACTGATGGAATGGCACATTTCAAACACTCTCCATTATTGTAATTACGTAGAGTGAAACTTTCCATTCCAAAAACTACATGCCCTGCCAGCAACTAGCTCTGTGTGCGCACGTGCACACACACACACACACACACACGCGCACACACACACACACACACTCCCTCCTGCGACATTCGAAATATTTAATCCATGTACCATCCCCACAGCCCCTCACACACAGCCTACCTTGGGCACTCCCCATCTGACTCCAGACCATTAACAGGAAGATGATTAAACACTTGCAGTTGAGTTATTTTCTCAACACTGAAATGTAATAAGCTCGTCCACGGTGACTGAGTCTGCTGTAACACAGTTCCGGCTCTGACAGCTGCAAGGAGAGGTAGCCGCCATCTGCTCGTCTCCTGGTTACCAGAGCTACTCAAGGGGCAAACCCCTCCAAAAGCCTCCTCAGCCTCACCAGATCCTCACGGTGTTTTGGCAGCCAAGCCTTAAAGGGCCAGACTGCCTATTTGCTAATTTAGCATGTCCACCTCAGGAAGCTGCCATAGAGAGCTAGGTCTTGTCTCGCTTGTAGACTGCAGCCCTAAAGAGTGGTAGGCCCCACTCCTGCATTCAGATCCACAGAAGTATCCCTCTGCCTCTGCACGGATTTCAACCCATATGGGAGCAAAAGTTAGCTTGTGTTGGTTAGCGCTTGGACCTGGGCCTTAGATTGCATGTGTACTGTGGGGCCGTAGCAGGCTACTTCCAACAAGGCTAATGCTGACAGTAATGGAATACAGAAATAATTAAGGATGCATTTGAACTGTTAGATAATCTTTCAGGTTAAAAAGCAATAGAATAATGTTCACGTGTGCATGAGCACGGATGTCATGGCATGCAATTTAATCAGCTGCTCTACGTGCTACTCACATGCGGGACAAAAAATACCATCACCTAACTACCAGTCTCATCTCAGACCTAGGAGCAAGGTTTTAGTGATAATACGTATTACCCTTCGGTTTCATCATCAGCATG